GGTTTATCAGCTAATGTACACATCAGTAAGGTTCTGTGAAAGTTGTTTTTTTTTTATTTAGCTATATTATACCTGGGGAAAAGATATTTTAAGAAATTCTGAAGCATATTAACTCTTAAGGGTTACAAAGATTAAATTAATATTTTAGAAAACAAATCTAGAAATGAATTATTGCTTAAATTTTCCTCATTAGCTTACATACTAGCAATGAGGAAAATTTAAGCAATAATTCATTTCTAGATTTGTTTTCTAAAATATTAATTTAATCTTATGGTATCCAACATGAGGACCTCAATAAGAAAAAAAAGATTCAAATGAAATTAAAAGATGTTAGTTTAATAGGATATTTGACTTTTAGTTTATTGCTATTTTAAATAACCAGTTTTGATGAATTTCACATTCCTCTTTAAATTTAAAAGAGGGATGCATAATATATTTTTTTTCTGAAGACCTGAATTCCATTCCTGGCTCTGAAGCTTAACAACAATGTGACCTAGAGCAAATCACTGAACATGTCTGATTCTTAGTTTCCTCATTTGTAGAATTATGTGGTTTCTCTTAACATACCTTTGAACTCTACTATTCTTTGATTTTAAAAATTACATAAGTAATTTGATATTGATATCAATTCATTATGTTTAATGCAATACTCTAACTCATATCTTAGATATTTTATAGATAAAACCAAATCACTGCCTAATAAGGACATAATTCCTTATCGTTATGATTTTTTTAGAAATTTATTATGAGATCCTTTCTACTGTTTGACATATGGCACCTGACAACTGGAATTCATTTTTAAATGGGTTTATTGATGCCTTTTATATAACATTCCTTCCTAATATGAATATCTTCCTTCCCCACTTAGGGAAAAAACAACAACAACAAAAAAATTAAAGGGAGTTCTGTTTAAACAAATGACACATTGATCATGTTTAAATCCATGTGAAATATTTCATACACATTGCTCCCTATCTGCAATGAAAAAAAGTAAGGGCTTATTTTTTATTATTTATGATTACATAGCATTGACTTTTGTTTTATTACACCTCTTATCTAAATTGTAGACATTTTGCACACCATTTTCTTGATTCTGCTTGTTTCACTCTGCTTCAGTTCATATGGCTTCTCATGTTTTTCTCAATGTCTCATAGTAAGCAGGTCAGGACCAAGCCCGCATCAAGCAACTGCCATATACCAGGCACTCAGTGTACAGAAAAAAGCAAAATCAGTCCTTGCCTTCAAGGAGATCACAATCTAATGAAAGGAGACAACATGAAAACAGCTATGTACAATCAAGTTTTATAAAAAATAAATTAGAAATAATCACAGATGAAAAGCACTGGGATTAAGGGAGACTAGAAAAAGCTTATTGCAGAAAGTAGGGTTTGATTTGAGGTTTGGAGTAAAACAAGGAAGCCAGGACATAGAGAGCAGGAGGGAGAGGATTCCTGCCATGAGGTACAGTTAGTAAAAATTCATAGATTTTTGAGTTAGAGTTTGAGGACAACCAAAGAGGCCTGTGTAACTTCCCCAATGATTGCTTTGCAGGGAGCAATGTATAAAAAGACTGGAAATATGGGAAGTAGAAAAGTTGCAGATGAGGTACTTAAAAGCCTAAGAGAGTAGTTTTTATTCAATCCTAAAGGGAACACAGAGTCCCTGGAATTTATTTAATGGAGAAAAGGGAGTAACATGATTAAACTTGTGCTTTAGGAAAATCATGAAGTGGAGAATGTGCTGAGTTGGAATAAACTTGAGGCAAGGATAGCAACAAGCAGATTATTACAATAATCCAGTCATGAGGTTATGAGGGCCTGCACTAGGGTCAATTATTATAAAACAAAAATATTAGTTATTTCTTATAGTCTGATAATATTATAGTGTACTCCTATACTACAATTTGTTTTGTTAATATCAAGTTATATAGGGAGTTATGATTTATGTTTATTAATATGTTCTGTACAATTTTGAAAGTTTGAAATGGGATATAATATATTTTCAAACTTTAAATATTTTTATATTCTTTAAGACAACATTACAGGTCACTTTTTATGATAATCAGGACCTCCTATGCAAAATCAATAGCTTAAGTTAGTGATATGTAAGGCCTTTTCACAATAAAAAAATACATGATATTATGCTGATATCTCAATATGACATGGGCATGACTCAGGGTATCATATTCCAGTTTAATGGAATCTCAAACACAAATTATGTGTTTGTCATGGGAGGATAAGCCTAATTAAATTCATAGAAGTTCATTAGCAGGTGATTAGTCACAAAGTGATGCTTTTGGCCACAGCAATTCATGAAGAATATCTACTAATGAGCATAAGGGTTGCAATCTGCATTATTCAAGGGGATACTCAGACTGCTGAAATCAAGATTCTTGAAGTACTATACTGTGTCAGTACATTAACAACTAAAGTGTTGTATCTTATGAATCTATACTTATTCATGGAAAAGAAGTTTGTGAAGGCATAATGTAATTATAATTGTAAGACAGAATAACAGAATAAAATATCATGAAATTTGGTTTGCCATACCCCTCTGATAAATACACATCATTGTTCTCTTGATAGACTGTGTAATAAAATGTGAAAACAATCATTCTACAATAATAATGACCATTTATTCCAATATATAATTCCCTGTTCCAGACGTTTAACAAATGTTAGCTCTGTTTCTCACCTCACTCTCCTCAGCTATTGCAGTAATTGCCAGCAACTGTCTATCAAGTAGGAATTGCTCTATTTGTAATTTGCTGCAGGGTCAGGACCATGGACAGAAAACAGTGCAAAGGAACTTTCTTGGGACTAAAGTCTATTCAAGCTGCTGAACATGCTTAGTCTCGAAGGCAGTACTTCTGTGTGCACTCATTCCTAAATTACAATAATGTATAGAAGCTAAAAGTTACAAAGAGATGACAAAAGATTCAAGAAGAATTAGATTTACAAATGGATAAGGAGAGGGAGTGTGGTATAGAGATCTGGGAGTCAATGGACCTGGTTTTTTGGAAGAGCAGTAGAGGAAGGAGTTATGAGACCTGGATTTGAGTTCCTGCTTGTCACTTTCTAGATGTTTGGCTTTATGTTTTTTGCTGAAGCTCTCTAAGACTCAATTTACAGATTCAAATCTGTAAATTAAGGAGGTTGATTCATAAGACTTCTTCTAGCTGCAAATGCAGTCTCAATTTTATCCAGTTAAGTAACTATTGACTTAAATTCTATCTACCTCAGTTTCCACTTCTATAAAAAGGTAGCAGTCATATCTGTTATACCTTCTTCATAAGTCTGTGAGGTTGAAAAGAACATAAATTTGAAGGTGTTCTAGCACTTTTAATGTTATAAAATAAAATTTATTCCAATTGTTATGAAGAGAGAATAGATATTTAGGCAGTATGTTTTTTTTCAAGGTTTATAGTGTATTATATTATATGGTGTATATAGTATTGCATTACATAGTATATATAGTATTATTATTTGTTTTTGTACATGGAACAAAAGGGCTTTGAAATCCAACGGGAACAACATATTACAAATATTAGTCATTTTAAAAATGAATTAATTCAATTCTAATCATATATATTTTACTGTCGATAGCCTGAAAATGGAAATAATAGCTGACATTTATTTAGCACTAGAAATAATTATCTCAATTCATCCTTACAGCTACCCTGAGAAGCAATTTGTATTATTTACCCATTTTGCTGATGAGGAAATAGGTTCAGGAAGGTTATGTGACTTTTTGGAAGGATGGAAAGAATGGAGGAAGGAAGGAAAGAAAAAAAGAAGAAAGGAGGGAAAGAAGGAAGGAAAGAATGGAAGAAGTGAGGAAGGGGATTGCAGAGAAATGTTTATGGGAGTGAAGTCACCCCAATAACATTATATGGATCATTTAATAACAAATTAAATGGACAGAATAATTTTGCATGTGCATTCAATATTACTTAGGCTGTTGTGCAAATGGAACTCATGCTTTGTGAACCACTATTCCAGTAGTACAGATGACCCTGGAGCTCTGAAGCCTCTTAGCTCTGGAGCATAGAAAGATTGTAACTGGGACAGCATTGGGCTATTGTCAAATGCTCTGTCCTCTTAGAAGAACGGAAAGGCAAACATAAAAACTGCTGGGTTCTGTAACCCTTTCTTGAATTCTTTTTGAATTCCTTCCTGAACTGTTTAGCCAAGTACTTGAATTTATAGCGTCTAGATTAAGTGAAGGAAAGGGGAAAAAATCAACAAAAGAAACCAAAACCCTGCTCTGTTTATTGTACTCTAGAGGACTGTCACACATTAATGCCCTTAAGTCCCTGGAGATTTATTTATTTTACTTTATTATTTTTTTTATGTGTGTTTCAGTGAAGTTCCTACGTATATCTAAATAATACCTTTCTTAAGCCGTCGTCCTTATGTTTCCAGGTTTTGAGATTATGTGTGTGTTTGAGGTGGGGGGGGCGCCTGGTTTTTAATTATTTTACATTTCCAAAAGGCATTTACTATAGAAGACACTTGTTCTCTTAGAGACATGGATGAAGTCGAATCAGCCTTCGAGAGACTTTCTATAGCCATAGTGCCTACTCCATCCAGACCTTATCTACTTTTCATCACTATTCCCCCCCCCCCTTTCTCCAGCTTCTGGTCCCAGCATCCTATCTGGGTAGGGCCAGAATCCTTCTCTCTGTCAGCAGCGGTCAAGGTGGAAGATACCTAGAGCTCCCCTAATAGAAATCGTAAGGCTCACTAGGCAGACAGGGCAGGTCTTGGTCGCAAAAAAGCTGCTTTTGCTCTGCCCTGCCGGACTCCCTCCCCCGCCAGCCGCCGCTCTGGTCTGCCCGTCAGGCGGTCAGTCTAAGCTATCAGCCCAATCGCGGCACCAGAACCTTCTTTGGGTTCTCCGCCTCCCCGGGCGCCGTGGCCAATGAGCAGTCCGAAGAGGTGGGGTGGGGGGGACCCCTTCCTCCCGCCTCTCTAGTTAAGGCCGCTGCAATTAGACGGAGCTCAAAAAGAGAACGAGGGGAGAGCTAGAGGGGTCTGTGTCTGTGCGGGGCAGCGGCGGCGGCGGGAGAAGGTAGTGCACAGCCAGCCGGACAGCTGCATGGACCAGTGAGAGCCCCTGCGACTAGCTCCGCGCCAAAGGCTAGGAGGCGGCAGCAGTGGCAGTAGCGGCAGCGGCGGCGGCGGCGGCGGCGGCCGTGGAGGAGGAGGCGGCTGAGCGGGAGGACGGCGAGGAGGAGGAAGAGGAGAAGGAGGAGGGCAGAGGAGTCAGGCGCCACTGCCATTTGAGCAGCGCCTTTCCAGCTTTTGCGCGCTGACCGCCGTGCCGGAGTGCCCGCTATGGAACAGGAGAAATATCTGCCTGAGCTGATGGCAGAAAAAGATAGCTTGGATCCATCCTTCGTGCACGCAACGCGCCTCCTGGCCGAAGGTAGGTAAGACTCCAGTCTGGCGCGTGATGGGCAGGCATTGGCTGGCTGGCTGGCTGGCTCCTGCCTGGCTGGTGTGGTGTTAGGGAAGTGAACTTGGGGAAGGAGACCTATCTCCCGGCCACCCAGGCACTGGCTTGCCTAACATCCTAGGCAGATAAGAGTCTGGGCTTGGGAGCATGCAGATGTTTCCCCGCCCTCTTCTTCTTCCTCTGCGTTTACATTTTAAATTGGGACTCAACCCATGAGAGAAAGCTACCGACCCGTAAGGATAATGGGTAAGGAGGATTCTGATAAGGGTTCAAGGATTGGCAGGGGAAAAAGCCGAAAGTGGAAAGGCGGTCTGCAGAGATCAAGGCACTTGGGGAGTGAGGGAGATAGATAGATGATCACTTGGGAAGTCATTTATGTTGCCGGTAGGATTCCACCCCTGATCCTTAACGAACCTCGTCGCCACCGACCAGCATTTCCGCAACATTTTGGAAGGGATCTGATGTCCTTTAAGCCAATCAGACAGTCTTTTCAATAGCTGATCTAAGTCATATTACTAAGTAAGCCAGATGAGACCACCCGTGTATATGTATTTACATGTCAGGAAGCATAAGATGGGATGCTGGTAAATCTATTTCAAGGGTGATGATTAGGCTCTGGGCAAGACGTACCCAGGCACAGTTTCACCAATTGAACAGCTGTTTTACAAAGTATGCGTTTTCTTTTGTGAACCTATAACGTAAAAGACATTACATTCCTAGGGATACATGAGGAGTCTTCCTCAAGGAAGGCTCTTGTATGTTGTTAAGATTAAAGAAATGGATAAATTTAGTTTCAAATAATGCTCTTCAACTACAACTTAAAAACAACACGGCAATTAGGACTAGTTGTGATCAATATATTTTAAAGCAACTACAATGGGGAGAGGGGGTGTTCATCAATTAGTAATTTCTTAATTATCAAATTAGCCAGAATGCAGTTATGTAGCTTGGGCTGCTGTGGGCTAATGTACATTAAAATAAGTGAAAAAAATGTTTTTTTTAATAAAACATGAAACTTCATTTATTTTGTTTGTATAGATAGTTTATATAGAAAAAAATTTACATTCTACTATTTCATACACGGTTAATCCTGATTTTCAATGCATTTATATTACATTATAAATATATAGATGAAAGTTTGATTAATGCTTGTACTTTCAAAAGTTAAAAAAAGCTATTTCCCTTCTTTACACTTTTTCTATATAAGAAAATTACTAAAGACATTTTTAAACTGTTAGTATGCACAATTTAAGTAATTTAATTGATTGAAGAACTTAATCTGTGAGAAGAATTTGGAAGAGGGAATGGTTTCCACAATCTTGATTTTTGAATGAAATGTTAAATGAAAGTTGAAAAATCAGTTATTTTTGTCCTCTTTTCCTCTCCTATTTAAAAGAATAAGAAAAAAGCATAAACAAGAACATGAGAAAGTACCATTAAAGAAATTTAGGGGTTTTTTTAAGACAGTTAACAAATAAGGTGATGAAAAACTCATGATCGTATCCATTAAATAGAGTACACTTTGACATATAGAATCATCTTAGCTGTCCGTATCCTGTCCATTTGTTGTAATCGTTTTCTTTGATTTATAAACTCAGTTTTAGTCTGATCTGCTAATTAAGAATTCTCTTTGGGACAATGGACCTTATGATTAATAATCAGTTTAAAAAATCACTTGAGTTTGAGAGTTTATAAGAGAAACACTAAAGGTAGCTGATATAGTTCTACTGTGCCTGGTAAGACAATCAAAATACTTAGTGTACTTTATTAGGAATATTCAGCCTACTGGGGACACATCCTATTTTCCCATGTAATTTAATCTTCTCCCAGCAGGGGGAGGCATCCACTGCTTCTCCAAAGGAGTGGGAGGGGGGAGGGGGGAAAGCATTGGGAAAAATTACCAAAAGGAAGAAGCAAAAGAGTGAGGCCCAATTCAAATTCATATTGTGGAGGAAATGGGTAGAGAGTAAGATTTCTTCTGGATTTCTCAACTTTTTGTCAATGTACATGACACATGTGTATGTACAAATATACATATTTATGTAAAATGAATGAATGACATTGTGGTATACTCTGAGTTTACCTAGTGACAAATATAGATGAATATTAAAAAAGGACTAAGGTGAACTATCTTTGGAATCTATAGGGAATGTTAGTAAAGACTTCACACTATATACCTCAACTTATCCTACACAACACCATCTGTCAAACTTTCTGGAGATAATTTCAGTCCTTTATATAATAATCATAATTCATAAATGTGACAAGTTGCTAGTAAAAGTGGCATAGGCAAAATAATTCTACTTTCTTACTGTAAAAACAAAACAAAACAAAACACAATGGTTTTCAATGAGCAGGAAAGTAAGCTTCAGTGTTTATTTCAGTGTCTTGTTGGTAGACATGTAATAGTGAGAGCAATAAAAATGATGCAGAAGATCTGTTTCTCAAAATGTTTTTCTTGGATCCAGGTGTTAGGTGGGGGGAGGGGTGCAATGGTTACTTCAGTTTATTGTATAATATAGTTTATAATTGAATAATGGCAGTCTATTGACAAATGATGACTGTTCTTATTTATTAGAGTTAAGATAGTCCATGGAGTTAAAATTGCCATGACTGTTTTTCCTTACATTAATTGTGGGATATTGACACCAGAGAGAATACTCACAAAACTCTTGGAGCGACACAAACATTTCACAAATTTAGCCAATATCTAGAACCAATTTTACATATTTTGTTTTTTAAAGTTTAATGTTTTATTATTTGTTTTCTTTAGAGAAATGATGGCTTACAGTATTCTCATTTGACTTAAACATTTTTGTTGTTGTATGTAGATTATTTTTACATTGTTTTAGAAGATGACTTTGAAAGGATCAAAAAATGGCAATACAGCATCGCTCTAGTTGGCCCTACTAGAATGCTGAGTTTCCTTGTTTGTTAAGATTATTCAGTTTCCTTATCTGGAGTTTCATATACTTGTGAGATAGCAGGTCTGGATAAAAAGAAGAAAAGAAAAGAAATGCAGGCAGTACAAACTGCTATAAGACTATTGAAATAGAATAGCTAGCTCTTGCATGAGAGCTGGATCTTGAAGAATGTTTATGATTTTAATTGGCAAGGATATATGTGAGAGCATATCATTCTAGACATAAGAAACTTCATAACAGACATATAAAGATGAAAAAAAGCCTTAATTATAACAGGTGGTCAATGGGTAAGTTTCCTGAATATGAGTTAAAACTGAAAATGTAAATTGCAGACATATTGCAAGGAGTTTGAAATAACAGAAATTGGAGTCAAGACTTTATTTCTTTGTCAAGGAGGAGCCGTTGAAATTTTTTTAAAAGATCAGATTGGCATATTAGAAAGATTAATCTGTGTTATGTAAGATGAATTAGAAAGGCACAAATGAGAGGTTCATGATCATTTAAAGGATTATTGCCAAAAACAAAGGAGGATAACTATTATCAAAATAGGTGATCGTGGTGATGGTAATATATGAGGCAAAGTCTTAGAAGTAGACACTGAAGGAATGTTTCACTTGTCAAAACTGGTTTATTCTTATATATCTATTTTAGTTGGTAGTATCAAATCTACAAGAGGAAGGCTTACTCAAAATGGCAAGTTTCATTGGCCAGCACATGGTATAGAAGATGCAGTTATTCAAATGTTAACAGAGATAATTGTATACCAACAATTTGCTCAATGCAAATAATGAATTAATTTTGCAGATATATTAATTGGGCTCATACCTTAGCTCCTATCCCCCACCACACAATTTTCCCAAAAAATACTATGAAATAGAGTGGGCAAAAATGTATCTCAAAGGTATGTATATTTAAAGTTTTATGATTATATTGAATATATGTATATATACATGTATATGCATGCACATATATACATATGTTATATGTGTGTATATATATATGTATATTTGGATTATGTAAGTGTGTATGTATCTATTTATAATAGTGCAAATATATTGTTGAATCCGTTCTTACAAGTCAAGGGTAAAGTGAATTTTTTTTCCTGTTTGACTGAGTATATGTTTCAATAAAATATAAACTTCATCAAAGCAGGGCCTGTTTTGCTTTGAATCTCCAGATTCCGCACATTAGTCAATGTTTGTGAAAGGAGTTGAAATGAATTGTGTTTCTTATAAGCACCAGATGTTATTTATGATTTCTATGAGCAAAGCAGCACCTTGCCAGGGTGCTGAAGATAGAAGGAGGTATAATATAGTTCTTTCCCTCAAGATGTTTGCTGTCTAGTTGTAAAGACTAGAATATACTCAAAGACTCCAATGAATCTGTAATCTCATTGATTTATAATTTCCATCCAATGTTATTAAAAACAAACCATCCATATCTGTCTATACTATGCAACTTTTATCCTTGGCCTCCCAAAATTTTACCATAAAGGGTCCACTCAATATGTTGGAGCCTTCCTTACCCTTCCCAATATCAAAAGGGTGCTAGTGGAATGATCTGACTGTCTACTTGTCTCAGTGAGGAATTCCAACAGGAATATAAAGAGAGATGACAATATTAGAAGTATACAAAGGCTAAGTTGATAGAGAACTGGACTTGGAATTAAGCAGACCTGTGTTCAAGTCCCATATTAGACACTTACCATTTGTGTCATGAAAGATAAGTTTCTTATCTTCTCAAAGAATCAGAGAATTCTCTGAAACTATAAATTGATCAAAGAAGTCCTTTACAAACAAAATTGTAGATCCTTGTATGCATGGACATAAATAACAATATGATGCCTTAGCACAAATAATTACTCTTATCTAGAATGCACTTCCTTTTCACCTTTACCTCTTGGAATCTCTGGCTTCCTACATGACACACTCTGGTGCCACCTTCTTGATGAGGTCTTTCCTGATGCCCCATTTGTTAATGTTGTCTCCTTCTTGAAATTACCTTGTAATTCTTTGCATTTACTTATCCTTATATGTATTATATGAT